TGAAACACCATAAATAGGAAGAACCTGGCTACGACCTCATATTAGAATGTCATTCTGCACAAGGAAGAACCTGGCTACGACCTCATATTAGCATGCTATTCTGCACAAAACTTAACCAAGATTCTTTTATAAAAAATAATCAAGCCACCAAGTACTATCTGGTAATACAATTTTAAAAAATGCGCTTCACACAGTAATGCCTACATCTATAGTCGAACCGCTTGGATAAACAGAGCTCTAGAAAAACAGCCCTGGTTTGAGGGAAATTTAGTTATAGAAACAAATATTCTTGGCGCTAGTTTTAAAGATCTTCTGTAGGAATGCCTGTTCCTTTTCCCCTTTTTGTACTTCCATAACATAATCCGATCGCTCAACGTGAATATGACATAACACCAGGTGTGCAGGGGTCAACAGAAGGAAATACCCTCGTTGCTGGACTGGACATCAATATTCATGCGCGATAGCAAGCTGAAAATCGCATGGCAGAGGAGAATTTCTTCATAAGCAATAACGGCTTTATTGGCTATAAAATCAATATGTCAGGAAAAGGGATAAGCCTAAACAAAGATTAACTTATTGACTCAAATCTCTAATACATGCAAGCGATAATTCTACACTTTCGCTACATATCAATCAGGCCCAGTACAGTTAGTACCCTTTTTTCACAATAACTGCATAGCAGCATGGAAATATTTTTCAAAAAACATAAAAGTATATATCATTTTGTGCTATGAGTAAGAGGACATGGATTTTGCTGGATGCCTGGATGCAAATCGATAATTCAGAATGAGCATGAGGTTTTTCTACAGGTGGCAACAAATGATGTTCGGAAGATAAAATAAAGAGGTGGTATCGATAGCCTGCAGTTTTCATCTAGCGACGCATGACCAACAGGACTGCATTTTATCTTCAAAACTTCAAGTATACAGATATAAATATGCAATCTGAAATCTGAACTGCGGAGGATCAGCAACCTGCAGTTTTTATCTAGTGACGCGTGACCAACCAGGACTGCCTTTTAACTTCAAAACTTCAATTTATCAATTATACAGATGTAAATATGCATTCCGAAATCTGAATTATGAAGAATCAAAGTTAAAGTCTGCACATAATTAAAGGTGGCTGTCACACCTGTATAATTGAAGATATGTAGTTGGTGTCGCAAAGAGTACTTTGAATATGGTATGCTTTGCTCAGACTATCAACCATTGTCCTTGCAGTTTGGTATTTTTATTGAAATGCCAGCTGCTGAGTGTTGGCTATGTCCTAGATCAAACAGTACAGTTCTAATGCTATGAGCAAGCATGTCCAATTTCCTACAAATGATTTAACATATCTCGGAATAAAATGCCAACTGCTTAGTGTTGTCTATGTCCTAGATCAAACAGTACAGTCCTAGCGCCATCAGCAAGCATGTCTAGTTTACTACAAATGATTTAACATATTTCAAAATTCCTCTAGAACTGTGCAGATGCAGAATCGATGCACATATATAGTTCAACATACATGGGTTATTCATTGATCAAGAAAACGATCCCCTCCCAAGCCCAAGAGGTAACACAGTTCAAGATACTCCCTAGACCATGATGGGGTAAGCCCTAATGATGAAACAACAGTTAGTATTACCCACTTCGCAACCAGAAAACCAGAACAAATTAGCTCGCGAGCATCCTTCACATATGCAATGTGAAGGATAATGTGCAGGATGCACGGTTGATATATAATAACTTAATATTATATCATCATGTCCACGAAACAAACATGAGTCCCTCTTGTCACAAGCACTCTCTAATAGATAGACAATAGATAGATATACTAGTAAACATAGGCAGGGGAAACGATGAATAACATTCCGACGAAATGCCAAAATAACAGCAATTGTCGGTGGATCAAAGCGCGGTCCGACGCCTTACTCCTCTTTTACGGCAACCTCCTCGGTGGCTGGAGCAGTCGCCGACGAGTCCTCCTCGGGCTCCTCCTTCGCGCTCCCCTCGGCGGGCGCCGCCGCAGCAGCGGCGGACCGGGACTTGGCGAGCTCGAGGAGGCGACGGCTGACCTCCTTGGAGTAGGCCTGGAGCACCTCTATCCCCTCCTCGACGGAGGCCGGGGACTCGGCGGCGGCGGACTTGGAGGCGGCGGCGAAGGCCTCGGCCTCGGCGGCAGCGGCGGCGCGCTCGGCCTCGGGCTCCGGGACGGCGCCGTAGCGCTCGGAGAGGATGCTGGGCGCCGCGAGCGTCTGCACGAGGCGGCGCACCACGGCGTCGCGCGTGCGCTGCGACGGCGGCCAGATGCTGAGCGACGGGAGCAGCGCCTCCGCGGCCTTGGCGCCCGCGGTAGCCGCCGGGGCGGGGGCGGCGTCGGCGGATCCCTCGGGGGGCGCGGGCTGGCTGCCCTCAGCGGCGGCGTTGGGGGCGTCCTCCGCCATGGCTGCGGCCTGCGGCTGCGGGGGAGAGTTCGGAGAGACGACGGAGAGAAAAGGGTAGAGATCTGTGGCGTGGAGTCCGGCGGGGGTGAGCGGTGTGGTGTGTGTGTGGGGACGTGTGGGGCACTGGGGCTGCCGAGAGACTTGCAGGCGGGGTTTTGTTTGGTTCGGCTCCTGTTCTAGATGCTCGGGTGGCCAGGTGGGCAACTGCACGTGGGTCCGCACGCGCGCCTGGTGGGTTTCTACTGTCCTGGGCTCATTATTGGCTGGAAGCCCCTCCGATTCTGGCCCTCCTTGTGTCACTGGGCTGGGTTGTCATTTTGAGTAATGGGGATGCCAAGTTGTGTATTGGGCTTGGTTTGTATTTTTCCGGACCACAGTTCCTACTTTTTTTTTTCTTTATCTTATAACTAGCAAACATGCCCATGCGTTATAACAGGATCCAATACGTAGTGAGTCGTAGCACGAGTCATGAGTTCGACTAAAAAATTAAATTAAATTAGTGGTAAAATCTTTGCTTCTTAAGGAGTCAAAGATTAAAATGGTTGTGATCTCTTATTTATTGTTTATTTTTACTCTTATTGTATTTATTAGAACACAAAAAACCAGGTGGAGAAAACAACGAAAACAAAATCAGAAAAGTCGAGCTAGTGTCAAAAACATCCTACGAGAAAAAAATCTGAGCATACTTGAAGCCAGGTAGAAAACAGTCATGACAAAAATTGAAATGTACTCTAGAAAATAGCCACGAAAACAAATCAGAACATATTTCAAGCCAAGTGAAAAGCGTCCAAATGAGCGTAAAGCAATATGTACTTGGAGCAAGTAAAAAGCAGAAAAACCAGAAAAAAAGTGAAAAAAACTAAAAGAAACTAAACAAAAAAAAAATCTACCCTTCTTTTCTCTTTATTAGATTTCTAATCTCTATTCTTATATTTTGCATTTGAATTAAGATTCCTATTCCGGTTACTCGGAGTTGGAGAGATTTAATTGGATTAAGATTCTTAGTTGTCCATATTATTATATTTTTTCTATTTGGATTAAGATTCCTATTCACCAAAAATTGGAGAGATCTAATCGGATTAGGGTTCCTAATTATATAAAGAGAAGGGCTAGAGGCGGGGGCGGATCCAGCGCTGAGGCTCGAGCCCCCTACTCATACTCTGGGCGCAAAGGAACCCCATGAATTTTTAGGCAAAGTTCTATAGTGTAGGTGGAAATTTGAAACTTAAGATCGAGTAACAATTGGAAGTATGTGTTGTTCACCCTCCTAAATTTTTTTTTTCTCGAATCCGCCGCCCGGCTAGATGCGGTTTTCGACATTCACAAAGTTAGTTAACGGATGATTCCACCAAAAAAAGATAGGTGGAGAAAAATTTTGCCTCTTTATTACTAGGTATATATAAATATAGATATAAATATAGATATGCGTTTTCGAGGAGATGTTCTATGAACTACGGAGCACACTTCCTAGCAGTTCAGAACTATGCTGTGCAAAGTGCAGGCAGCAGGCACAAAGAGTTTTTCATACTCAAACACAAGTGCAGCCACCGCCCACTCCACTGCAGCGTAGCGCAACACTTCCATCGAAGTTCGAAGCAACTCAAGTTAACGCAGCAACGAATTATCCCCAAGGGGCATCAGATTCAGCAAAGCAATGTGACAAGACTCAACGATCCAGATTCGCGTGCCCAAAAACAAGTCACAGCTTTGTCCCACGCACGCGGGTGCACAGCTGACGAGCCGCGGAGACAAAGGAGACAGTAGCCGAGGCGCGGCCGCGGCGACGCACCTGAGTGCAGACTCCTAGAGGCGGTGCACGCAGCCACGCTCTGCCGCCGCTACCGGCCGCGCTCTCTTCGGTTCGGCGTTCGGCTAGACCGCTAGAGCCAAGACATGCCGTGGAAAAGAAGCGCAGCGCGCATAGGCTTTGGAGCCTCGAGGTCGAGGCCTTTCTCTCGTGGAAAGTTGTGTCCCCTGTTTCCCGGGCCATTTCACCTGCTCCCATTTTTCTCATCTGCCGCTAACCTCCGATTCCACGCTAACTAACCTCCACACCTAAAAGCATCTCGGAAAGGAGAAAAAGGAAACCTGCACGACGCCCAATTTGAAACGCTGCCGAATGGCCTCAGTCTGTGCAGATTGAATAGTTCTTCAGTCTCTGAACTGAAGATTGGCGTAGCATAGCTGATAGGCTGGTAGCTTTACATTTGTACCCGGCGCTCTTCGTGCATTTGGGCTCTACTTAGAATGATAGAGCTGGGGAAACCTTCAGCTGCAGCATATAATCTCCGGTTAAATTGCTGCTGCAACTGCAAATGCTTCAAAGTTCAAGAGGATTTAGATTTTTGATTCCCATAGTGGTAGTAAAAAGGCTCACTGCAAATGATTGTGTGCCAGCAGCACCTACCTTGTTAGGGCACAAAAAGACCTTTTCAACCTTTTGCTTCAGCTTTGACTCATCACTCATGTCCCCGTTGTTCTGTTACATTAGGACAGCAGAAGATTCGCTCAGCTCCAGTCCTCGCCCACTGTCCACTCTTCCGCTCGACTACCCTGCTCCACCTCCATGCATGGGATGGGCAGTCAAAGAAGGCTTCTCCTCCTCCTGGCTCTCCTCTTGCTGACGCTGGTCGCCGGGGAAGGCGACGGCGCACTATCCGCCGCCGGCACAGACGGAGCCAATGCCACCGACGCGAGGCCGCCGGCCGGCGCGCCGCTCGACGTGCGGGCAAGGAAGTGGCGGCGGTTCCCGGCGACGGAAGGCCTTGTCACGAGCAGCGAGCGGAGGGTGCCCAACTCGTCGGACCCCCTCCACAACCGCTGATGCGGCGGTGACGCGTCAGCTGCCGCCTGCCATCCGTGCTGCTTCAGCTTCTGCTGTTAGTTACCGTACCTCTGATCCGATGCTTTCTGGCTGCAGAATGTGGCTTTAGTGTTCAGGCTTCAGAGAATTGAATTGCGTATATGAGTAAATGTAGCTGATTTTGGTTTAGCTGGTTTGCCATTTCGAGCGCTTGTAATCACAAATTCATCGGCAGTTTCCACGGTGTGTATATATAAATTCCCTGAAATCATCTGTCTTTGGCTGAATTATCTGGAGTTAGCGCAGTTCACAAGAGTTCAAAATTATGTGATGATATCTTGTATGTATGTGGATCTCTGTTCTTCAGTTCTTCCTGTAATCTGAACTAACCAAGTGAATCATTCTATGGCTGGAGTTCATAAGACTTCAGCTCCGAACACGCGCAGTGCAGGAATGAGTTTTCTTCTTCTTCTTCTTCTTCTTCTTCTTCTTCTTCTTCTTTTCCCGTTCGTTTTCTGCCAAAAAATTCATACGGCTCGTCGTATACAAGGCACAAAAAAGGGTGGGAAAAGGCAAATGGGGCCGTGGACCCACCTGTCAGCCTCCCTACGAAACAAACCCCGTTCCCCCTCCACCGTCCTCTGCGTCAAAACGTCGAAAAGCTAGCGCGCGCAATGTCCGCCGCCACCAGCGTCTCCCTCGCCGTCGCCGACGCCGTCTGGGCGGATATCAAATGCGCTGGCCAGGCATCCGACGAGCACCTATCCATGTAAGTAATGGCAAGCCGCTCGTCCACGCGGTGCTGTATCCGCTCTCCCCGGGCATGCTATTTCTCGAGCCCTTGACATGCTCTCGCTCTCCGCAGCCTCGAGACGTTGTTCGGAAAGAACATGCTGCGGGCCTGCAAGATCGTCGACGAGCGCGGCGTCAGGCGCGTCACCGGAGCGCCCAGCGGCCGCTCGCTCTTTCTGGTAGGCGCCTCCCCTCCTCGTCTTCTGATACCACCGGATGTCTCTTGTTCCAGCCAAACTAGCGAACAAGCTGTCTGATTGTTGCCTGTGTCTGTGCTGCAGGTGATGGGGGAGTCGAAGAGGAAGGAGGAGTACCTATGCTTCCCGGAGCACCTCTGCACCTGCTACTCATTCTTCTACGACGTCGTCGGGCGTGGCGAGCAGCTCAGCGTAAGTACCCTTACTGCAGCTACTGCATCATGAACAAGAAAATTATATCTGTGCAAACCTTGGGAAAGATTAGATGGAGTAGCATTTGTCAGCTTTTAGCTCGTGATTGCTGAAGCAGTAGCTGAATTTTGGGCTATTATTTTGGTGTTTGCAGTGTAAGCACCAGTTAGCTGCGCGGCTTGCAGAGGCTGTGGGAGAACACCAGGAGATTGAAGTGAAAGACGAGGAGCTCGCAGATATGCTTGCAAATCTCTGAGAACATGAAGCTTTGATTACTTCAGTAATGCACATAACATTTATGAACTGTATCTTCTCCTTGCCCAGTCACTGATAGTCTGGTGCACTGGAGCTACGCACACAGACTAAAGGGCGTACCTAGTGCAGAGAGCTCCCGCTCTGTGCGGGGTCTAGGGAAGGGTGTCAGTGGCAAGCCTTACCCTCGCCTGTGCAATGCGAGGAGACCGCGACTCGAACCTGGGACCTTCCGGTCACAGGTGGTAAGACTCTACCGCTTGCACCAGGCCCGCCCTAGCTACGCACACAGACTACAATACGGAAATGTTGTGCCAGAAGCCACGGTAGAATCAACTCGATATCATCACCCTTCTTGTATGCTTGGTCCTTTGAACTAATTGATGAATTGAGATGAATGTTCGTTCACTATATTGTTCTGACAATATACTGTTCTTTCTCTAGTCTCTATGATGCCTTGCTGTAGCAATGCTTTAGTGACAGGTGGAAGAAGATATGATGTCACATGATGAAGTTTGATTGAAAAATCCAAGATTTTTCCAACTTGAAGATGCTGGCACATATGCCTCTTTTGAATAGATATATTCCACAATAAATAATGCTGATTGAATTCTACAGGAGGGCATCAGGATGACAGCTAAAGCATTGAAATCCTGAATACCTTTGGATTAGTGTCTTGAGAATTGAAATACTTAGTTTGCCCATAACATGTTGAAGATAGCTTCAATTTGCTAAGTATTGCATTCATAACAATATTGAGTTTTTGTTTGGTAGAAGAATGTACTGAATTCCATGACACTGATCTGCTAAATTTTTATATGTGTTCATAACTAGTATCTTTCAGTAATGTCTAAAATCATATAAGCACTGGTGGATGTCTAAGGGGATAGCATCTCAGAGGACTGTGTAACTTGTGTTTCCATGAAATTGGTTTCTGTTCCCACAGTCAACACCTTAGCCAAAAAGTTTCTCTACATGTAATCTTTGGAAGGGCTGCAGTGGAGATTTTGTCACTGTGTTGTTGTGCTCTTATTTGCAATTTGGTTTAATCGTGCTGTGATGGTCATGATATCTCACTTATCAGGTATTCACCATTGCCTCACCTTCTTATGCTTTCACTAAAGATTCTATTGCTACGCACTTCCTTTCCAACTGAAAAAGAATGGGTTCTTGTTCTTTCCATGTATACTTCCATTGATATGTCAATTTGTTACCACTCCTTTTCAGATTCTTTCGCATTACTTTGCACGGATTCATTTATATGCTAAGAATCCATGGCTCTTAGCCTCTTATCCTACATCTGTGCGATACCTGTACTTTGATGAAACAATATTAGGTCATATCATTTGATTACAATCAATGTATTTGCAAGTACTACCTGCTTTGAAGTCTCAATGAACCACGCTGGCTAAGACTTTCCAGCATGTGAATATTTGCTATTGGTAAAGAAGCAAATGTCTTTAATATGGTTTGTCTTGAGAAACAATGTTTACCAATGAAACAAAATGTATAAATTTGAACTGGACTCATAACTAGTTACCACAAAGATGCAGAGTTAGCTAATAAACATGCCTTTTCTTCCTTCTTTTTAGATTTAGAAGGATTAGTTTCTCTATAGAATGATCACGGTAAAAAATCCAAAAATGCTCCATAGGTATTTTCTCAGTTTGCCCTCTATATTTTATCTTCACGATTTACTCTCAATATGCTCCATAAAACACCCACCATAAGTCATCCCACTACATTACTGTTATTTGTTGTTGTTTCTCGAAGAAACTCTGTTCTGCCAGACCAAGACAGACATCAATTCGGTCTGGCCAGAGGTGACTGGCAACCTGTAACTGGAAAAAACTTTGGACTCTCTTGCTCCTCTCAATTGAAAGGCAGAGCTCCTGCCATGTTCTTTCCAAAAAAAAAAAAAAGACAGACATCAATTGTACATCAGTTTGCTACATAGCCACCAATTGCTCACTTGTCTAGCATACAACCAACAACTGCATGAGATTTGGGCTTCATTGAATCAATTAGCTATTTAAAGTTTTAACCAGTATAACCAAACCCATATAGCCTGCTACAAGTAACAGTACAGCAGATAGTGCAGTCGCTGCACATGTGTGGGGGCAGATTCAAACTTTTCATTCTCGCCATGCATTTTATACTTGTTCACCAACAGAAATTATGAAAAAGATTACACTTCTCAGAAAATGCTTATATGTAATGACCTATCTGCTTATTACAACTTACAAGCGCAGGGTCAAGTCAATATTTTTCTCTATTTGCTTCTTGGACTCCTCTGAACTTGCTGTGAAGCTCCCTGGCCATACTAACCCTCCAGGTTCTTTAATTGCAAAAGGCATCCAGCCACTCATTCGGCCTCCGTCGAATCTTGCTACAACAACAGCAGCGCTTTCACCAGGATCCTTCAGAATCATGGAGTGGGAGTTCACTCTCAAAGGTTGGAGAAAGGAAGCAGATGGAGGAAGGCCCATCATCATCTGAAATCTGTGTGACTTTCTTGCTGCACACCTCTCCCTCTTGTGTGCATTCTGGTGCCCACCGAGGGCCTGCGAACTGAAGAACTTTCTCATGCAGTAGTTGCAGGAGAAAGTCCTATGTGGAGTGGCCACTGGTTTCACCTCTTGAGGCTTGGTTTCTTCACTTTTTGGCGCATCAAGCCCCAACTTCAGCCATGGTACTGTGATATTATCATCAGCTAGACCAGCTTCGTTAACTTGGTCTTCTGACTTCTGCTCTTCGACACCAGGTACTCTCTCCATTGCTCTCTTTGTTGGAAGTAGTAGAAGACAGGGTTTCTGAAATTTGTGTTATCGTGCCTCACCCTGCTTCGCTATTGCTATAAAAAAGAAGCAGGGGTCTGTGAGCAACAATAATTCAGCAGAAAAGGCAAGCCATCGGTACTTTCAAGTGGACCAGGATATACTAGTTTTCAGTAGTGGCAAACATGTTGGTTCTTGTTATTCTTCGCAATGATATACCTGTCATGCATAGTGACTGGCTTCAACAAACTTCAGTTTCTTGTCCAGTTCATTCCCTATCAGGTTCGCACCTGCTCTAGATAGCAGCGTTACATTTCTTTTCTATCAGGTACAGTCCTGCAACCTCATGCAGGGCCACGAGTGGTTAGAGTTTCCCTATTTTGTGTGCCTGTGATCTGGGGAGCTACTGCTCACATTTGGAACTGTCCTTGTCGATAGAAGTAATAGGAATATATACTGAAAAAGGAAGTCTTATAACTTCTTTCCTCTTTTTGTCATTTTTCTTCTACTTCTATGCCTTGGAGTGGCAATGTTTTCTGCCATCTTCTTTTAAAATGACTTTTATTTTGCATGTGGACTTTATTCAGTAGAAATATCAAGTTTTAGGTGGACTGAAACAAATTCTTTCCAGGTGATTTGTTTAGCTGACCCATAGTGTAGCATGCTTTACTGAGAGGTGCTATGGCCTATCAGTGCTTTGTTAGTCATCTTTGAACTTATCGCAACTCTCACTCATGCTCTCTCTTTTTGTCTCTTGGCATTATTCAACACTAAAGCCTACCTCAGCCTTCTCAAGCTGCACCATCACACGAGTCATGAGTGGATTTCAGATGACTTCAAGCAAGTGCCGTTACCACTTGTTGCTAGCCAAAGCCTACATGCCATTAGCACTGGATAAACTCTGAGGTAAAGAACAGAAGCTTTCTGCTGAGAAGCAAAGCAAGTGGGTGACGCACTGAAAGCGCAAATGATTATGCTTTTTTTATGCAGGATACGGCGTCTCCTTTTAACTGTTTTCGCATTGGCCTTTTAGCGGGAGAGATCAGACTAGCGGAACTATATTCTGATGGAGGAAACCTACGAGAAATAGACACACCTGCTGCTCTCTTTTGGACTTGTCAGAGAAAAAATCATGGTGGATGGTGCTGATATCCCCCTAGTGGAATGGTGACTCGTACCCTGGCGGCGGCTCCGGCTCGATCCGGAGGAGGTGGCGAGGAAGCAACACGCCTTGGTCTATCGGCGGCCAGCAGTAGGCAGGAAAAGACTGCCATGTCGCTTTGCTACTAGCTAGTACTAGTAGCTAGCATTACACACAACACAACCTTCGTCTCTGCAGTTGTGCTCACTCATCCTCATCCTGTTACACAGTGGCACAGTGCTGAGGCGATGTCGACCGGTCGCTAGTGCTGAGCCTGAGCATGGTTTTGTTCCATGTGCTCTTTCGCGCATCATCTTGGGTGGGTGAAATGACATCCTTGGCTGCGAACTGGTTCTGCGAGCGACCCGGTGTGCTGTTCCAAGTTCCATGATTTCTGTTCCGATCTGCTGACCTGTCACAGTCCCCCTTGCGTACCTTCCTGTTCCTGCCTTGTGGGCCATCCTGCGACCTATTTGCTGAAGTTTTGCCTGCACAGTGGATTTTGGATGGTTCTGGATGGTTCAATAGTGTGGAGAATAAACTCAAACATGACCAGCCGAGCAGGGTGCATGTACCTTCCTGGGCTCCTGGCTAAGTGTGATCAAACTGAGGTGTACTAATCATGTAGTGAAATTGTTTGTTGGGTGACAATTACCAATCAGAAACGATGGTGATCCTACAAGCAGCACTGGAGCCAGCAGCAGCCACGGTGAAGACTGTTGCTGAGGAGTCCAGTCCATTAGCCCCGTGGGTTGTATAGTATAGGGGACCTGTAAGGCCGGCCGCCACTCTTCAGGTCTGCAGTGCCCCTGCCCGCTCTAGGGCATTGGGCCATGACTTCTTCGGGCGTATTGGCCAACTCGCTCCAGGTGGGCTTTGCCCATCGAAAAAAAGAGTCCCTAACTGGGCCCAGTCTTGGAAACTCGCTTCGGCGGACACTTTTTTCCCCAACCATAGTACTATATACTATATATACTCTATTGCTCATATAACCTTGCAAATCAGGCTACAGAAACACCTAGCTGCAGGGTACTGTTCTGTGATGCCAGCCGGGCCGAATCAACTGCGAACGCGTCGGCGTCAAACAGGTCAACCAAACACCCGGAAGGCAGGGAGCATCAGAGTGGTAGCGCACACACGTGTAGTATCTTAGTCACCCTGCTCTCGCTCGTTGGTTGCAGTTAGGGCTTATCAGGCATAGTACATAATTTTTCTTTCACAATAAATCAGCACCGGTCGGACTTATCAGCCCGAAAACCAGCCACCGAACAGGGTGTGCTTGGGTGTGCTTACGTGGAGTGGAGTACCCATTGTTCACTTATCATGGCATGAAAGAATGTCATGACGATGACGCTGCCACAGGAACATTCCCCGCCTGCCTACAGCTACAGGCTACAGAGGCATGCACTACTACGACGACGACGACTAGGCGGTCAATATTGCTCTGCACAAGGACAGCACAGTCCTGTATTGTGCTACCTGCTGGCCATCAGGCCATGGCCACCCCCCACGGCCCCACCCATCATCTTCTTCTGGTCCTTCGAGTGGACAGGCAGGCAGACAGACACCGGCGAGCGGCGTGCGGCGATGATCCGAGTCTTGGCCGCCATGATGGGTCGTCGTCCGTTAGGTAAACACCCCCTTTACGACGGACCGGATCGAGACCATACGATATGGGCACGATTGGGCATGGCAGAAAGAGAGGCCGCCTCTGCGTCGTCCTCGTCCCCTGCATGCATGTGCCGTGTCTGCTGCCCTTGTCGCGCCAGCCCAAACCCTTTATTCCCCCGTCCGTCCGTCCGTGCGTGCACAGCATACACCATCGATACATGCATGCATGCACACCGTCTACCTGCTGCTTGCTGCCGGCTGCCGGTGATCGAGTGAATTCCACTTCCACAGACCACGGCTCGGCGCTTCTTCGGCCTTGTTTAGATTGTAAATTTTTGTAATCTAAACACTGTAGCACGTTTTGTTTGTATTTGACAAACTTTGTCTGATCATGAACTAACTAGGCTCAAAAGATTCGTCTCGTGATTTACAACCAAACTATGTAATTAGTTATTTTTTTTACCTACATTTAATGCTCCATACATACGTCTAAAAATTGATGTGATGGAGAGAGAGTGAAAAAACTTGGAATTTTGAGGCAATCTAAACAAGGCCTTCGTTTCGATTTTTTCCTTCTTCCCTTTTTGATGTCCAACTGATTCAGTTTACCACGTTCTTAGAGCATACAGACAGTGACTTGGTGAGTACGAGTCCAACCAACAATCAAATCCCAGAAAGAAAGAAAGAAGATCGACCGGCCGGGCTCACTACCACCAAGCCCGATAGGCCGATAGATCACCCCATCCTCACCGGCCGGCCGGCTGGCCGGTTGTGGGTCGTCGCGCGGGCGCACGGACGACGCACGGTGGTGGAGATGCCGTCAGAAAAGGCTACGGAGTATGTCGGGAGTTTCAACGAACTCAGTACTCAGGGTGCGCAAAAATTTTTGGTTTTTGGGTATTGTAGCCTGTTTGTTTGTTTTTGTCAATTAGTGTCTAATTATGGACTAATTAGGTTCGAAAGTTTCGTCTTGCGATTTCTCATCCAACTGTGCAATTAGTTTTTTTTTCTATATTTAATACTCTATGCATGTGCCGTAAGATTCGATGTGACAGGTACTACGTAAAATTTTTTGGAATCTAAACAGGCCTTCTCTACTAGGAGTAGCCAATCAGAAGCTTCCAGGGAGCCGAGTTTTTGCCGCGTGCGTTTTACTGCGTGTTTGGTGTGCCGGGCCATGCTCAGGCTGGGTTTAGGTCGCGAAATTTGGGTATTTGGTTGTTGTAACATTTTCGTTTTTATTTGTTAATTAGTGTTTAATTATGGACTAATTAGGTTTAAAAGTGATTTCCAATTAAACTGTATAATTAGTTTTTTTCTGTCTATATTTAATGCTCTATGTATATATGGTAAGATTCGATATGATGACTAATGCAGCACTTTGTGACTAAACACAGCGTCAGTTGCTCATGCATGCATGAACCGATGGAGTTGGAGTCCGCGGCGCACTAGCTTTGGCCTTTGTGCGGTACAGGGTGCCTGACTGGCGACGTGACAGTATTCTTTTGGTCCGGTCCCTCGTTCTGTCAGTTCCGGTCGACTATAATGTTTCGCGTCGTCTCGCGCGCGCGCGTGCCCTACACGATATAACACGAACAATAACGGAGTTGATTGGGGAAACGGGACGCCGGCCGGATGCGATCTGCACTTCTCTTTTCTCATTCCGTCAACTACGGCGTTGGCTCGTACTACTTGTACAGTTGTACTGTATACAGCGTGGGTGAGTAGAATAGATGTACTGTATGACGATGTAAGTGCAATCAAGCTTTATTGTGGGTTTTGGTATTGATGACCATCAAATTAGAGGACTAATTAGGTTTATCGAGATGACAAGCATGGAATCGAAAAATGAGGATGATGTACAGTTTACAGGTGTCCTAATTACAAAAGGTGGCCAGACCTAGCTCAAAGGAGGTTTAAATTCTTTTATGTTTTGAAATTGAGTTTAGGAAAAGTCGTACTATTAAGATAGATTTTTGAACAGTTGGTCAACTGTTGAATCAGATGCTCAAATTCTCAGATTTACATCCTCTCACCTAGTCAAAACAGCCAGCCAAATTTCATATCATCTTACCTGTTTTGGCTAGGGCGGCAGTGCCGCCTTGTTAAGAGTGACAGTGCCGCCTTTAACTGGCCGTTGGGCTCGAGGGGTATTTATACCCTTCAGGCTCGGTCCACAACGGTCATCTTCCTCACTGAGTCATTCTGCTCGAAACAAGACAGAACCAAAGCTCACTTCTCTCCTCCA